TTAACCTCAATCCATCAGCTTCTTTCTTCTTCTTTATCTCACACTCTCTCAAACCTCCCTAAAATCTCTAACCTCTCTTGATTCTCTCCAACCCCCAACATCATCAACATCACCACCATTAATCCACCACATTATACCACCCCCCATTGATCAAAACTTCACTCAAACACTTCCCTCACACCTCCTTTCCCTTCCCCTCCCTGTTTCTACCAAGAAAAATGAAGAAGGACCCAAGACAGCCACCACCAACCACCCACTGCCACCTTCAAACACCCACTGCCACCACCGGAAAACACCATCTCCAAGCTTTTATTGTTGTTATTTTCGATCCCCAAAGGCCTCTCCCTCCTCCCTTACGTCATCTTCGTCGAGTTAGGCAAGAAAGGAGCAGCAGAAGGCCACCGGAGTAGCCTCCTACCACCCTCGTCACCCCCAATGTTGCTGCTGTAAATCGTCGGCCACCACCGCCACTCATCACCTCCTCCCATTGTAAGTCCTCCCTGCCATTTTCCATTTGATATTAAATTCATTCGAATAAAGAATTAAAACCCGATCGTGTGCACGTGAATTTTTTTTGTTTAAACTGTGTTCGAAACATACACAGGAGGTGAGGAAGATGATCTCCTCACTATACAAACATCATTTCAAATTAAATAAATGCACTCCCTTATCTATGAAATTGCCCAACTTTAGCCTCTCCCTCTCAAAATCTGTTTTCAAATCTAGTCCTAAGTCATTAAAATACATATAAAATGTTCAAAATCTACCCTATGGTGGAAAAATTCTTTCAAGTTGAGTCCAAACTTTTAACATAAAAATTTAATAAATTATATTTTAATAATATTAATTTATTTTAGATTAAATGAACCTTGGATTTATTAAATTTTTGGAAATTATTAATTACATGTTGATTTAAATAAAATTTTGGATTTAATTAAAACTTTGGAAATTATAAAATAAATCATTTACTAGCTAAAATACCAATTACTCTCATACATTAATTTATGTTAACATTTCCTTATAAAACTAAATTATCTCGAAATATCGCGTTCACGGCAATAAACCCTGGTTTTCTCGCATCCATTCTCGAAAACAAATCATTAATCACACTTTAAGGTGAGTGTTACCACCCCACTTTTACATATTTTCTGTGGGGAATACATGTACTACTTGTACTATATTATATATACATGTGTCAAAATGTTTTGTTTATACAAACAACATCATCATTTTTATGCGATATAAATCACAAAAAAAAAATTATTATTTACTACTCTACTACTTACGATATGGGGAATCTGGTTTGAAGGGCCACATAGGGTTGTTGGATTTCAGAACGGATTAATTGCTAAAATGATCTTGCCCTCCGGTGTTTTATATTTGGCCCTCGTCTGTACATGGTAGTATGGGTACTAAGTAATATTTATCATACAAAATACACATAAATATCATTATTTTGTGTAAACACATTACTGGTTGGTGAAATATTTGTTTAAACGCTTACGTGTTATAAGCAAACAAGCTATTTTTAAACCTCAATATCAATATATGTTACGTCGTTAAAATGATACAACTAATAAAAATAACATATACTTTCCGACTACAAATGTGCTATGACTGTGTAGACGGTTATCAACTTGGTAGTGTCAATATACCTCATACATACACAAAAATATATAAGTTTATATATTTATACATGTTATTGAACTTGTATCTTAGGATCATATATGTGCTTGTGTACACTACCCTAAGTTTTATCAAATGTTTAAACAAGTATCGTACACTTTAACGCTTACGCTTATCAAGTATACTTGTCTTCCATCTGTTTATCTGTATCTACGGTTGTTAAGTACAACCTTGGAAGATAACTTTATCCGTATAACTGTATATCCGTTTATCTGTTATCCATACAACTTTGTCACTATAAACGATAACTAGATTTCATTATCTAGAAACCACAGTTTAGATTTCTATCTTTATCAAACATTTCCAAACACAGTTTTACTTATAACAAAGGCAATACTTATTGGATTATATTAAAAGTATCACTATTTTAGAAAACATGTGAATCTCAATAACCTTTGTGTTGACTCTCAAACTTACATGTATTCTCAAGAGATCATTAGACAAGCGTATATAAAGAAGATTGGTCATTGATTATAGAAGACCTAGCTATCTAGTTTTTGTTATCTGCTTACCTGTTTAAGGAAACTACTGAACTACTATTATTTGTAAGAACCTTGTATTCAAAATTAATGATGGAATGCAAATGTTGTTTTTTTATTGTTGTACTTGTACTATATATTCAGTTTACCTATGATCCATGAACTTAGTCGCACAGTCCGGCATGTTCCGCATCGGCCGGGGGTGTGACATTATATTTATGTGTTTTATTTTAGGATCGTTCCTTGTGAACGATATTTCTGCTTTGGTGTTGTTTTATTCGGGGGCTACCCGATCTTTTGTATCGCTTGCGCTTGGCAAGAGGTTTGCTAGAGCTCCGGGGGAGTTGTATTGCCCCTTAAATGCTGAGATCGCAGATGATAGATCGTTTCGGGTTGCAAGAGTTCATCAGGGTTGTACTCTTCAGTTGTTCAGTGAGGAGTATTCGATAGATTTGTTCCTATTCCTTTGCGTGGGAATAAGGTTATTGTGGGTATGGATTGGCTGAGCCCCAATTGAGCGGTGATTGATTGTGAGCAGAAGTCAGTCCGGATTCGAACCCCAAGTTGGGGAGAGTTAATGGTTCAGGGAGAGAGAGCTCAAAGTGGGTCGTTATTATGTTCAACAACGAGGGTCAGACGCTATATTCAACAAGGTTGTTCAGGATTTGGCGCCTTTGTTATGGATGCCCGAGATAAGGGTAAGGCGACCACGGATGATGTGCTGATTGTACGGGATTATCCCGATGTGTTTCCATAGGATTTTCCTGGGGTGCCTCCGGAGAGGCAGGTTGAGTTTAGAATTGATCTGGTTCTGGGTGCGGCTCCGATAGCCAAAGCACCGTATCGGTTGGCTCCTACCAAGATGGAGGAGTTGTCTACACAACTGCATGAGCTATTAGACAAGGGATTCATTCGACCGAGCAGTTCTCCATTAGGAGCACCGATCTTGTTTGTGAAGAAGAATGATGGGTCTCATCGTATGTGCATTTGATGGGTTTTAGTATACTACAACATCCTATGGTGCACATACAACCCTAAATGCTTTGGATCTATGTTTTCTCTAATTATACATGCAATATTGTTTCCAAAGCATTAAGCCTACAACTAACATGCAAATGACATAATCAACATAAAAGAAAGTTATAGAGTTACCTTTTGTTGTAGCTTGTAGAACTTCTTGAGTTTGGCCTTTAAGAACTTAGTGCCCTAAATGTTGCACCTCATATGGAATCACATCACACATAGGACAAGGATGACTTTTTGAGAGAATATCCTAACACCAAAATCGGCTCAATGATCTCCAAGAACACTAGTGTGCCATTTTGGATGCTAAGGGGCTTCTTATATAGTGTGGCAAGATTAGGGTTACACCATGTAAACCCTAATGTGTATGACCTTCCATTAGGCTCCATGGGTTTAAAACCCCCATGGATCATCCATGGGTTGTAACATTGGTTTAGCCCAACCTAAAGAATCATGGATCATTGGCCCACACCATAAGAATGAATGATTTACCAAATCAATTCTCATATATTTAATTAGTCTCTTTTGATCACAAAATTAATTCCAAACTAATTCTTGATCAATACTAATTAAATAATATGATTTCATATTAATATATTAGAACTTATAATATATTAACAAATCATAAATAACCTTTTTTCTCAAAAGTCCATCCTATCAAATTGTCATGGTGATATGCAACCCAAATGGACCATGCTACTCTCGGGTCAAGTACATACCAATTACAGTTATAGGCTTAAACACCTATTCCAACAGTCTCCCACTTGCATAAGTCTAATAACTATTATTGCAAGTACGACTTCACAACCCGACTAGTAATCGTAGCTCTTAAAAGCCACTGTCGAACTCTGACCTAGTTAATGACGTGTCCATTAGATAAGGGATCATATATTCCTCCATTCTAGATATCATATGGACTGAGACATGGATTATAATCATTCTCTCTGTCTATCTGTTGTTTCCCGATTTCCGATTTATGACGACCGAATAATCGAACAAATCAAATCAGTCCAGGCTTGGCCAAGCACTTAGGGGTTTCATCACTAAATCATCTAGGGGACCACATATATTGCTTTTATCCACATGTAGTAAAAGGAATGGATAAACTTCGACCCAAATGCTTGCTTATACTTACTCACCAAATTACACACAACAATATGTTTTATGACACCAAGTTACTAGTGCGTTTACATACGTCAATATGTAACCGACTCGCAAATACAACTTACATGTCTCCGTTGCAAGAATATAAGATATTATCGTCTCACAATCACTCATGATAAAATCCATGAAGTGATTCAGTTGAGCGTGGGTTGAATCCAATACTCACTACTAGAAAAATAGCCTTTTACGACGCGCAATGCGTGTCGTAAAACGCTCAGACGACGCGTAAATGCGTGTCAAGGAAGGTCCTGTCATAACGAGAGACGACACGCTTTTGCACGTTGTCTATAGACGACGCGCATTTATGACGCGCAGTTACGACACACATTTACGACGCTCATTTACAACACGCAATGCGTATCAAGGAAGGCTTTGTCATAAAAGAAGACGACACACATTTGTGTGTTGTAACCTTACGACATGCGTTTAGGACAAGCATTGCGTATCATTAAAGCCCCTGTCATAAATGAAGATGACACACATTTGCATGTCATAAACTTCAACAACCATTTACAATATGCATATACGACGTGCCTTTACGATACTCTTTTACACATAATACAAAAGTATAGAAAATATATATATACTAAAACAATAAATTTCATCCAATAACATCATGTCAAAAAATTGTAATACATTGATATTAAAGGGATCTTATTGTACATTGTTATTAAGAGGTTTTCCCTAACTAGATAACATAATACTACACTGCTATAAAGGGGCACCTTGTTTCAGTAACTCATCATTAAGCTGTCTTTAGAAGCTCTGAAACCCTTCATGTATCCAACTAATCATCATTTCTCTTAGCTTCAATATCAATCCCAACTCTTGATAAAAAAACAACACGGAAATCCTATACAATAATCATGTCAGTTGTACAATATCAATATCAACTAATTAATAATACACATGATAAAGTGGAATCAAAATGATCTACCAATAAGAGTTTTATACTGTCTTGAATCAAAGTATTTTTGGTGGCCTCAAGGGTAGCTCCCAAAGGATACTCCTTTCCTGTGCCATCTTCCTTTTGAATTTGCATGAGAGTCAGTGTATGGCTGTTCAAATCAAAAAAGAAAACCAACCAAACCATTACACTTTTATCCTTGTTCATATTAAAAAATCTCTTTCTATACATATCCAAAGACTGACTAAACAGATATTTCAAAAAGAAGATGACTAACCAGATATATTTCTTGCTACGAATTGTATCATAATAACCACTCAAAACTTGCTCAAAATCATTTTGGCTTCCTCTTGGCTCTATTAAGTAATAACACAACAAACAAAATTCCATTATCAAACCAAAAACTAACCATATGGGTTATTAGAGATAACATATAACTTCAACAGAAACATTGTTTTGCTTTTTAATGCATATTGTAGAATAATCTCACCAACAAAATAGCTTTTTGTGCATTTAGGCGAGTCCATTGACCAGTTTCAGACTAACGACTGCATAATTTGTCCATAAGTTTATAACTAGGGAAGAACTCCAAACACCCACTAGGGACAACTTTGCATATTTCTTCAAGGGATGTTCGAAGTGCATCTTGCACGACAAAAACATCATACTTCAAAACCAAATAAAGGGTAAAACCGTCATTTAAATAAGAAAGATTACAGAATTGTTTAAAAATGATTGATTCTAAAAAAAAGGTAAGAAACTTTATTGGTACCTGTGACTCCACGTTGATAACATGAGGAGCTTCAAGAGATGTTCCGAATTGAACCCCAAGTTCAGAATGGAAGGAACTCATTGGTGATAGAGTCCTGTAATAATATAAAATAAAATAAATAAATTGTATTAAATATTAATAAATAAAACTTTAGATAATTGAATGCATACACCTACTACCCAGATGTTAAAATTACTGAAAGAGAAGCATCAGCAATGTTCTTGAAGACAAGAGAGCTGGATTCAAGCACCACAAACTCGAAGTACAGGGCCAATCATCACCATCAACTCCTGCATGCAAAATGTAGATATTATTATAAGAGTAAATTACGTTTTTTGGTTAAGCTGATTTTTGCAATACAAGTTTGGTTCCAACAAAGGTTTTGGTCCTCATTTATGGTTCTTGTAACAATTTTTATCCCTATTCTATACAATATGACTATTTTTGGTTCCTAAGTACAGCTCATTTTTGCAATTTTAATCCTAAAAATAGTCATTTTCTTGAATAAGAGACCAAAAAACTCAAATAATGACTAAAATTTCAAGAGAAAACTTTTTGGGACCAAGTTGCAGAAATCAACTATTCTCATGATAAAAAATGTGATTGTTGGAACTTTGGGTCCCAAAAATAGCAATTTTCTTGGAATAGGGACCAGAAATGTTGCAAAAAAAACTCAAATAAGGACTAACATTGCAAGAAAAAACTTTTTGGAACCAAATTTACAAAATTCAACTAAGGCACCAAATCTGTAATTTGCTCTTATTATTAAGAACATAATGGTAAATAAATTTTATAAACTTACCAGCATCACCTTTGATAGGTTGAAAAAAAAGGCTTGTAGGTTTCACCAGAGTTCAACTCATGAAAAAAGGACCTGTAGGTTGAAAAAAAAACAAAAAAGGACTGTGGGATAACTACATTAAACTCTATATCAACATTACTTATAGAGAAATTACAAAAATGGTCCCTGGGTATCAATTTTATTTGAAATATAAATCTCCAAAAGTTTTTTCTTGCCATTATGGCCCCCTTATTTGAGGTTTTTGTAAAACTTAGGACCCTATTCCAAGTAAAATGACTATATTACCCATTTCACCAGAGTTCAGCTCATGAAAAAAGGGGGGAATCCAGGGTTCGGGTAGGCCAACTGGCCAAATCCCAGTATATATTAATAAGTATATAAATATAAAATAAATAAAAGTTTGAAAAATAATTAGATAAAGGGTAATATAGTATTTTTACATGGAACAGGGACCTCATTCATTAGGATACTTCAGATTAATGACTAAAAACATTAGCGAAAAAACATTAAATGAGGACCAAAATTTTCAAAAGAAACCTTTTTTGGAACCAAAACAGCAATACTCATGGACCATCTATGTAACTTAATCTTAATTGTATGAAAAAATGGATGTTTGAAAAATACTAGATGTGGCATAAAAACTCAAAGTAAATCTTTTTAATTTTGATGGAGAAATGCAGCTGAAGAGGATTACTTTTGTGGCACATTCTTGTAAGCTTGGGAAGCACTGCTTTGATATGCTTGCTTCTTCAAGTTCTTTTAAAGCTTTATCACCAGTCCAACTAAAATAGTAGTCATGCAAATATACAAATCATATATATATCTTATAAAACAAAATATATGATAACATGAAGAAAACTTCAAAAAAAAATTATATATAAGAGAACTGACCATGATGCATTATGTTGAAAACTATGCTTCCCCAATGAATTTTTCTTCCCCCTGATCCAACTAATAATGCCCTGTCATAACAAACAGTTTAAAATAACTATTTAAAAAATAATTACAGTTGTAATATAGGAGTATGAGGATTTAATCTAAGGAGTAGTACCTCCATCATTTCACATAAGGGCTGATAAATCTCTACCTTTTCATCTTGTTGTAACTCGATTACGATGACAAAGATTTTCCAGTTCCATCTGTAATTCTTCCATATGTACAAACAGAATACAAAATCAACAAATACATTAAAGTAAAGGGAGGGTAAAAATGGAATAAAAAGATGCTTACGAAGCAGAACGACTTCTTCAACATCTACACTACCAGCATCCGGGTCTATGTCTTCTATATTACTGAAAAGAGGTAAAAGAAAAGAACTATATAAATTGTCATGTGAGTGTAAAATATATATCTGGAAGTCCTAAACTTTTCATATATTCCAAAATTGCCCCTAATTTTAAGACTTTAGGGTCATTTAGGATTTCCAAATGGACATAAGAATCACAAAATTTTAACCTTTAAGTAAATTACAAAAATGGTCCTGTGCTTTGTTATTTTACTGTGTTAGTTTCAAAATTGGAACATTTTTCAGTTTTGGACATTATTTCAAGGTGTCGTATCTATTTTGGTCCTTATTCCAAACATCATATGTTAACACCAATTCTTCCTTTTGCAATTGATTAATCATTTCCAACTTCTAACTTCATCTAAAACTGACTCCTACAACTTCAAGTCACAACAATTGGATTAAACACACATCCAGACATCCCATATGTCATAATTCCAAATAGAATGTTCGTTTTCATAACTAACCTTGCATTACAACAAATTGTACAATGATTATCTGATACAACTATTAAGAAAAAGTGTGTTTCAATACAAAAGCTGTTATTTAAATCCCTGATCCTGGAGGTATATGATCACAATTTACCAAATTAAAAAAAATCCACCAGTAGATCCTATAAGTTTGTTGTACGCTTGGTTAAGAGCTTATAAACCCTAAGAAGTAGTTCCTATAATAGTTTTGAACAAAATCAAACTCAGTAGGCCAGATCAAAATTAGAAAAAGTGAAAAACATAACCACAATTCATATGGTGAAATCTACATAAACAGAGAAAAATTACCTGACAATGATTCGTGATTACTCTTGAGGGGTGGCGGCGAAGCGGAGCATCATCGGTGGAGGATAGATTGTCGTAAGGCGGTGAAAATCAGTAGGCGAAATAAAAATTAGCAAAAGCAAAAAAAAAAGTAACCACAATCAATATGGTGAAATGTAAATGGGAACAAAATTAAAATACTAAATTTGATTTGAAAGCACCAGAATAAACATAATACACATCTTGGTGACTTATTTCCGCCAGGGGGACTTCTCCTCCAAAGCTCGCATATCCACCTTTTTCACTATTGATGTGTACTCCAATGACGGTGATTGAGGGACTCGACGTACCAGATGTGGGTGAAGATCGAAGCTGGATGTGGGTGAAATGTAAATGGGAACAACCTTCATCTTTGAGACCTTATGCTGACCTAATCATCATATCAGAACAAAATTTCAACCGTAGAGGTACGCATAGAGTTCTTGTATGCCCAAACCCTAAATGGATGTGAGATTGAAGAAGAAAAGCGTATGTGAGGGAAGTGTTTTTGAAACTCTGGATGAAAATCACGATTATATGTAAGGGGGAAATAAAAGCCCTAGTTGTTGGTCGCCGTTTTGTGATGTTCAGGAATGGACGCGCGTATTTAAGAAAAAAAAAATTATAAAACGATTATATGAGTTGTCGGAGATGTATAGCAGAGATGGTATCCTGATTAGGGTTTGTAGAGAGAAGGGAAGAAGAGAACGAAGCAGATCTTCAAGCGGGGTATTTAAAAATTTTAGAATTTTAAGAGGATTTCATTTCCCCCCTTTGAGAACGCGCGTTTTGAGTAAAAATTATAAGCCGACGTTTTTTTAATTTTTTTTAATGAGACACTAATTTAAGGGCACGCAATAATGCGTGACCTAAATCCTTAAATTTTTTGAAGAGATGAAACTTTTTTAATGTCACTCTCTTTTGCGTAACATAAATCAATGAGTGTCGTGCTTTGCGCGTCGTAAAATGGTCTTTTTCTTGTAGTGACTCAAATCTTATTCCAGATGAACACTGCAGCTATGTCTAAAACACCTAGACAAACTACAGACTCATTCATGACAGTCTTGCATCAATACCTACTTCCAAAGTATGATCGACTGTGGATGGTTTGAATAACCTAGTTATTCGGGAAGTCAAAACATGCAAAGTGAAACACAAAAATAATATTAATCCTATATGACCCCAAAACCTTTAAGTATCATATTGATTAATCATTATTCATTGTATAATGTTTCGATTTTTCAACTTAATACTTGAATTAAAACAATAGCTATGCCATGCTCCAAGCATACACACTATGTTTGTCTATGGTCCTGACTTTGTGAAATAGATCAATTGAAAAACATTTCAATGATGCTCATTTCACAATTCCAAATCTTTATTGCAAGTGTAAGAAATCCAAATTATTGTCACTGGTAAACTATCATGTAATGCAGCCTTTGTAATGTCACGGTACCAAAAGTCATAGAGACTTGACCAACGGTATTACAAAACTTTCCACTGGAGATTGATAACAAAACAATTCCAAGGAAGCGAAGTCTCAAAATCAAAGTACATTCCTTTGAACATCCTTCTTGCATTTAGTTTTCTAATCTTACACAGAATTAAAGAATAACTTCCACTTATGGAAACATTTCCATATTCTCATTTTGACAATCACTTCCGAAAAGAGTTGCCTCTTTTCAGAATATGTCAATATGGTCCATCAGTTTTTATACTTCCAACTACAAGCGACCAATCCTTGGCGAACCTTAGATTGTCCTTAATAGTTGTTAACCACTTTAGTCATATCCAGTTCTAGCCCTTTTTCCCTCTTAATGCCCTAGGCATTTCGAAAAATTAGAACGCGAGAATATTATAGGATATGAAATCGATCCTATATCCGAAGCATATGGGATGCGATTCATAATGTCCAACATAAAGACATGATACTTGACCAGTCTTTTGCTATAATATTTCTATTTGCCATGTTCTCATAATTTAAATTATGAAGAGGGATGTCGTAATCATAATCAAATTTTTGAGAACGCAATTAACATTTCCATATAGAATTTCCTTATGTCGAATCTTCCAACATAACATTCATATATATTTGACTAAATTTGATTAAAAAACTCAATCTAAGCTTTTAGATTTGAAATGAAGTATAAATTCTTCTCCCTTAATTATAGCAAAACAACTTTTCAAACCCACCAACTTGCGATTTGAAACCTTTTGTTTTCTATAATTAACATTGCTAACTTGCAACACTTTCCATAATAATTATGCTCCCACTAGCATCAGAATTATTATCTTACTTGCATAACATTTATGCTCCCACTAGCTTTGACATTCAGAAATCAGCTGGACTTCTAGAAATCAATACTTATTGACTTTCATTACCAAAGTTCAGATTTATGATACGAGATGCTTCGATAAGACTTTATCTAAGCTTCTCAAACTGATAACCTTTCCTTAGATAGCCCACATGTGTGTCTTAACAATTTTAGAGCTTACAAAAATAAGTCTCAAATGTTTAGACCTTTGTCATTTCTCACAATTCGAACTATGAAGAGGGATGCCGTAATCATAATCGAATTTGAGAATGCAAATATCACAATTTTTATCTCTTTAAAATCTACTTAATGAAAGCTTTTACTCACAATTATTTTCATGAATTGGAGAGAAACCTTATGACACTTAGATTTTATGGTATATGCGTTCCTATCGATGTGAATTTGTCATAATCACAAGACACAGTTAGTGACAAATCCAAACCCATATGGACTGAACTTGTTCAATCTTAATTTCTTGCCGCTTGGCAGCACAAGGGCCTACCATCGCTTCCAAGGTTGTTATGCAAATAACTGAGAACTCATAGAACTCATATGCATAGTCAACTTTAACTGGAATGGGCACAGAAACAAGAATATGTCAACACGATAGGTTACAAACCTCAAGTCGTGTGCTAGTGATTAACAATTGGTTTACTCTCGATTAGTTCTTGAAACTTTTCAAGATCTTTAAGACTCCCACTGACCTGTTGACATATAAGATTCACTTTGTCAAGGAACATTACTTGACAAACAAATATTCAAGAGTTAGTTGGGTTTCTTATCAAGACAAACACTTCACACAATTGGCCTTAGTTGGTCTTTGTTTTAACGAAAACATCACAACTTACCAATTTCAAACATACAAGAGTAAGAAACATGTTACTCTACATTTGATGAGTTTTATAAACCTTCTTAATTTAGTGGCACTCAAGGCACAAGCTTGGAGTATGACTCTAAGACTTGTTTTTGGAACGAAGTATGACTTATCTTCTAGATTTAACCATTTCAACAATTCATGATTCCTCTTCTCAGCCATAGAAATGCACTAAGATATCCTTAGAGGATCAATTGTGACATGGTTTTCATAATCATTAAGATGATCATAAAACACGATACTCAAGTACTCTCCCATCTTTTCAGATTGGAGAAACTTCTATCTTTCTGCCTAATTTGATTCTTCTCATTTGTTCTGCCATACATTGAACTTTTCCAATGATTCAGAATTATAATTAAACTTTTAAGCATAACCATATTTACTAAACTTTAGTAAATCATGATGAATAGTCTTATCGTTCTTTGTGGTGGACCTGACCAGCGCAAACCCAGTGTACCTGATCCCGTAGTCCTTCACTTGACTCACATATTCATGTGAACAATACAAGTTTAGTATACTACAACATCCTATGGTGCACATACAACCCTAAATGCTTTGGATCTATGTTTTCTCTAATTAAACATGCAATATTGATTCCAAAGCATTAAGCCTACAACTAGCATGCAAATGACATAATCAACATAAAAGAAAGTTATAGAGTTACCTTTTTGTTGTAGCTTGTAGAACTTCTTGAGTTTGGCCTTTAAGAACTTAGTGCCCCAAGTGTTGCACCTCAAATGGAATCACAACACACCTAGGACAAGGATGACTTTTTGAGAGAATATCCTAACACCAAAATCAGCTCAATGATCTCCAAGAAGACTAGTGTTCCATTTTGGATGCTAAGGGTGTAACACCCCAAGTTCAGAAGCAAGAGTTCAGGGATGTAAAGTGTAATTAGAAGGATGGACTCGACGAGTTGGAGCTATGACTCGTCGAGTCGGGGCGTGTGAAGAGCACGTGATAAGTGGCCTGACTCGCCGAGTCGGCGGCTGGACTCGACGAGTCAGTGCTGAAAGAGGAAAACCCTAATCTTAGGGTTTGCACCCTATATAAAGAACATTATATCCTCCCCTCAGCCCCCTTGCTACCCTGTGAGATCCAGAAACCCTAAAGTCGTGAGTGAGAGTCCTTGGAAGCAATTTGGAGCTTAGATAAGTGATTTTGTGAAGAGATCTTGAAGATCAAGGAGCTTGGATCAAGGAGACTTGTGGAGATTTGGCTTATTCTTCAGTGGGAGGTCGTTTTGGAGGTAATGAATCGTTATCCTTGGCCTTCTCCTTTCCAGATCCATCTTTCATAGAGTTTTAGGGTTTGTTTGGAGATGATATGATGAGATCTTGGTGCATGGGTTAGATCTAGAGCTGAAACTCCAGATCTGAGTTCTATTTGGATCAAATATGCAGAAAGCCCTTCTAATTGTTATGCAAAAGCCATTCCGCATGAGTTAAGTTCCTTTCTAGCTTGGTTTTTGGAATTATGGGACATGAAGTACGTAAAGGTAGCAAATTTATGTTGCTAAGGCACTCTAGGGACCCAGATCTATTGTTTGGAGCAAAGGAGTAGCTCTGTGTCTTTCGAGTATGGGAACACCCGTATCAACTCGGCGAGTCTGGGAGATGACTCGGCGAGTTGGGCTAAGGTTTCAGGCATTGAGTCGCGTAGTGACTCGACGAGTCGCATGGGTGCACTCGGCGAGTCATACGATGATGAGCTTGGACTCGACGAGTGGAGGAGATTGGACTCGGCGAGTCTGTTCTTGGACTCGGCGAGTCAGGTCGCAGAACCCCAACCTCTTTTGGTTAAGCTTCGAATCAGTGAGTCGGTTGGCGACTCAGTGAGTTGGACAGGATGGAATTCAGAGATCGTTGAACTCGACGAGTCTTGGGGCGACTCGGCGAGTTGAGTCGTGTTATGAGAGTTTTTTGAGTATAAGAACTCGACGAGTCGACGGTTTGACTCGGCGAGTAGAGTCAATCAGGAAGGTTGACTTTGGCAAGGACTTGGTCTTTGACCTGTTTGACTGTGTTATGGTACTTTGGATATTTATGTTGTGATCCATCGATGACATCAGGTGTTGGAGTTTGGAGCAGTGCTTCGGACCAGTGCTTTCGGGGTTCGATTCGGCAGTTGCGAGGTGAGTTATCCTCACTATATCAACAGGGTCTACGGCACCAAGGCCGGCCCTTTATCGGATGGGAATCCGGGTATTTGTTTGATATGTTTTGAGTTGTTAGATCTGCATCCTGGTTTTTGGATGGTGTTATGTTAGTGACCTGGTTAAGGTCAGTGTCCTGGTATGTAGGGCAATGTCATGTTAGTGACCGGTTAGGTCGGTATCCTGGTTAGGATGTTGTTATGCTGCATGATCTGATAGATACATTTGTTTGACTGAGGATTGTTATGTGGTTAACTGTTTATGTGCACGTGGTTGTTTGACTGGGGTTGGGTTGAGGCGGGTCCTGCTTTGTGCTGTAGGCCAACATAGCCAAGGCGGACCAGAAA